AAGCTACTCATGGCAAGAGATGATGCAAACAAGAGCAATACATCAAGGCAAGTTTACATGAGGCCGGAAACAACATATAACAATTCCGGTAAGTCCTCATATGCAAATTTCGAAATTTTTCCAGATCTGAATGTACCTTATGTTCAAGTTGTTAAACAACAAGTTAAAATTCACCAATATGATCTACATGAGATTCTAGTCAAGTTACATATAAAGTTCATTTAATTCAGAGCTACAGCCTAGAAGATGTGAGCAAAACAAGTTAAACATGGCATTGATGCAAAATGCATACAAACATCAAGCAAACACCTCAAAACAAGGATTCAACATGATAATATGAAACTAGATGCAAAATCAAGCAAGTTTCATATAGAGCAGACTCAAAACGGAGGAACAGTTCAACACATACACTCTATACAAGTTATAGCAACAATCTGTCCAAAGCAGCAACTAGGCATATTGCAAGCATCAAAACAATATGCTACAACATCACAACATAAAAACAAAAGGCATGGACATGATCTACAAGTAAAGCATAACGAAACATGAACACTCAGCTATCTCCAGAAATCACTAGAACATGCTCAAACACACATGGCAAGATTGCAAATAGTAACAGTTTCAGACTTTGCAGAAATAACATCAGGTTGCAATGTTTAGAGCTATCAAACAACATGTTACAGGAACTTATCATAGAAACTTAAGGCATGGCATGATACTACTAAATGCATAGAACAAAAGTCCTTTACTGACCATGAGCCAAAAAGGACCAGAAAATATGATGGCACCCATGTAAACATGGCAAGTTATATGACAAATTCATACATGGCAGGAACAACGATAAGTAGTCATGTTGGTGAGCTTGAACCACTCACCACAGAGCAATACATGGCATGACAAGGTAACCAACAGTAAGAAGACATGTTTGTGAAGCTATACATGGCAATAGCAAGTTCATAGGGTGCATGGAACACTAGCAACAATCATGGCAACAACTGAACTTAATGTTAACAGGCTGACAGCAACATTATTTAGCAACTTTGGAGCAAGATTACAACAACCTACAACAGTCTATAAATGCAACCAGGGGCATGGATGGATAGAGCACGACATGTATAACAAGACACCCTTAGTGAACATCTCCAGATTATGCATAGAATGACTAGTAGCAGCAGGTTTACATAGCATCACCAAATAACAGATTCAACCTAGCAAAACAGTAACAGCAAGTACCCTACTTAACAAGCTCAATTCACTCACCACAAGTCATTGCTTGACAATATAAGCATAGCATCAGCAAGTAGACATGTTTATGAAACTAACCAAGGCAAGAACAAGTTCATAGCATGCAAGGATCAACTACAACAACCTTGGCAAAGTTGAATAACATGTAAACAATCTGCCAGGAAACATTTTCTAGCAAAAGTAGAGCAAGAAAATGACATGCTAGACTACTCCATAATTGCAAACAGGGGCATGAATGGATATAGAATAACCATATGTTCAAAACAACCTTACTGAAGTATCTCAAAATATGCTTGGATCTCTCTGTAGCATCAAGTTTACATGGCATAAAAATAACAGCAGAACAGGGACTGAAATCAGCAACATCACGAAGCCTAGTTTGCATGCTTGTGCTAGTCACCACATTGATCACAAAAATACATGGTAAGCACCTCTATAAAGAAGACATGGCATAGTTCAAAACACATGTAGACATCAACCTCATAGGATGCACACATCAATCATGGCAAAAATGACAAAAGAACATGTTCTGTTCACAGACAGCAGACAACATCATATAGCACTCTTGCAACGATGATTCAGGCATCAATATGGACTCAAATGAACATGGTGCAATGGAATGAAATGTAGATCATCTCTAAATGAACATTTTTACATATTACACGCACGAAACGGAGCAGTATGCATGGAGTTATGGCATGTTGAACAGGGCACGAAAATATGCAAAAAGTACAGGACTTGGTCGTTTTCGGGAAAAAAATATGTGAGCGCTGGATAGCTAAAGTGCGACCGGGGCGGGATTTGGTGGGCTCTCACCATTGGGCTCGGCCCAGGACGGTGGCGCGGCTGGGGCTGCGCTGCGGGCGAGGCCGGCCCACTCGGGAGGGCGCGGCCCATGCGGGCGACGCGAGCGGACGGTCGGGTCGAGCGGCTCCTCCGCTCGACCTCTAACCAGGACGGCGGCGGCTGGCTCCGGCAGGGGCCAGCGAGGGCAGAGGAGGCCATGGGGGCGGCGTCTCCGGCCGGATCCGGGCGGATCTGGACGCGGCGGCCCCGTTCCCGGCGACGGCATGGCCAGCCAACGACGGGCGAAGCTCCAAGCCGGCGGGGACCTCCGGGGGAAGGAGAGAGAGGGAGCTCGGGATGAGAGAGAGAGCAAGGGAAAACGAGATGGCGCGGGGGCGGCGTGACCTGAGGACGGCGGCGGCGACGGAGCAGTCCGGCGAGGTACGGGGCGAAGCGGGAGGAGCACCGGGGAGCGGGCGGCGCTCGGGCGAGCACGGGCTGCTCGGGGCGCGCGGCAGATGGGCGACGGCGCGAGCGGGCCTCGGGCAGGGCTCCGATGGGCTTCGCAGGGCCCGATCTGGGCTTCGGCGGGCCCTGGCGGGTGCGTGACGGTGGGAAGAGCTGCGGGGCGACGTGGAGGAGTGGGAGTGGCCAGGGTCGCCGGATGGTGGTGGTTGGGCCAATCGGGATGCGCCAAGTGGCGGGAGGTGGCTAGCCGGCGCCAGAAAACGAGGAGGGGGCGGCGCAGGTGGTGGAGGCTGGTTGGTGGCGCACGAAATTTGAGGAGGAGGAAGATGGCTGCGGTGGGGAGGCGGCTAGGGGTAGGTGAGGGGCTAGGGATGCCCATTTTGGAAGGAAGGGGTGTATATATAGGGTAGGTATTAGGGTTAGGGGGGGTTTGGAGGGGGTTTTGTCATCGGATTTCGATCCGACGGTCCGGGGCGGAGGGAGACTTGGTGAGGGGTTGGTGGGCTGTGAAGATAGGGCTCGGGCTGAGGGGGGAGAAGAGAGGTTGCATCCCGGCGGCAGTTTCGGAGACCGAAACGTCCGACGAAGGTACTGGCAACGGTACCGCTATATGTTTAACGGTTGGGCAGTCAAACGGACTCCGAATGCGACGAAACTTGACAGGCGGCCTGTCTACACTATAATAAGACCACATGCCAAGTTACATCCCAAACTGAGAACATTTTTATGCCACTTATAAAATAATATTTCGGAGATGCCGCGGGCGCGTGCGAGAGTGTCTGGCTCAGAACGGACGATGAAGAGAACCGGCGGAACCCGAACGGATGCAAGTTTTTAAAAACATGCAGATGAAATGCAGATGATGACATGGCAAAATGCAACACGCAAGCAAATGACATGGCAACGACAGCGAATAACTGGCAGACACTTGGCGCATCGAATCCGGGGCGTTACAGTCCCCACCTTGTCACGAGTACCGGCCCCACTCGTTACAGTCCACTTTCGTGTACTTTCATCGGAGTACTACCCAGTACTTCGTATTTGTCTGCCGTTAGATCGACATCAACGAACGGTTCTAAAAAAGCCCAACCACTCTAAAAGTTGTATCAAATGTATAGTATAACAGAAGGATTACTTAATTTGCAAGATTCAAAAAAGAGAAAAGTAGGAGCTTCCCTGAATAAAACTCACGCCATCATTAGGCCACTTGTCAATGAAGCGTCAGGGTATCATCAACCTACAAAGCCTTCAGAATTATGTATGTTTCGTCATATATCCTGGCAGAACAAGAAAGCACCATCTACATCCAGTTTCAGCACATATTCACCTGGAAGAAAGAAACCACCATCCATATTCAGTAAATTAGTATGCTCCTATTGCCCAGCCACTTTGCTTGAGGAAATAAACAAGCACCAGAGAAGGGGGGACACACCTTCTCACCTGATGGAAGTCACTTCATCCATCAACCTATTCACCTCACCTACATTTCATTAATCTTGATTCTATAATTTTAACAAGCAACCGGAGAAGAGGGACACACCTTAGATCTCAGTTTGGTCTTTAAATTACATCTCATTGCCTTACTGCAAGCACACACCTTAGATCTCATTTCTTCCAACTTACACAACCTCGCATCAAGAACAAAGAAATGTGCACCATCCTCACAGGTTGGTTCGTAGTCTAAGGTGCATAGTAATTCCTATGTTTGAAATTCTGCAAGATTCAGACTACATGGCATCCCATCCGGCTTTTTTCCTTTTCCTCGACTTCTCACATAGAAATTTGTGAAAATGACGGTACATAAGACCCATTTTACTATCCTAAACAAATATGCTAAGGATAAATATGCATGCACGATCTATATAGATAGTGCTATTATGGAATAAAATTAGCTAAAAGATATAACCGAAATTAACATGGTAATGCCATAACTCTTTTCAAGGTTACCATAACTTAAGTTTCCTTATTGTATGAAATGTCCTCTGTTTTTCAGCACTATGCAATACCAGGGCATTAGAAATTTCTATTTACGTAGTAATAGACAAGTAGGCTTTCAACAAAAATGCTACTAGCCTACTACTCAACTATTCAGTTTCAAGAACAGAATCCCCTAGAAAAGTATCGCCCAGAATGCCATGCAAAACTGCAAGAGACAAACGAAAACTGATACAAACTACTAGTGAGAAACAGAAATACTACTTCCAGTGAAGTTTGAGATTTCATATCATCTTCATGGCCAAAATGAGAACATTCTTTCATGAAAGGTAGATGGAGGATGGCATTGAAAACTGCAATGGCCATTTTAGAACACAAAGATACAGAGTGTGCAACAATACTACTTATCGATACTTCAAAGAATTTGCAGGATTCCCTGATCTCACTTTCTTAGTTCCTATATGTGTGTTAATATGATAGGAGGAAGAACAAGCTCATAGCAGTGCGATGTTTTCTTCTCTTCTGAATGACATAATGAACATACCCATTTTCATATCGGTCTTGGTTCAAGTAAAACTGAACCTGGCGGACACTTCCCCCCTGCAAGCATTTGCATAGTCTTGAGTGAGATGGGGTGCAGCTTCCTTGTGAGGGAATATGAACTTCTCCATGAATACCTTCTCGCTGATACTGAGTGTATTATAGTAGTCCCGGTCATGATCTAGCAACCCATTTTCCTTAAGAAACTTTACAATGTAGCACCGGGGCCTAAGCCGGCCCTCTAGACTATAAGTGAGCAATGCTGGACGATAAGCAATGTATGCTGGTTCCAATCCCAACTCGGAAATAAGGAACTCGGACCTGCGCTCCAGCGATTCTTTATTCCTGGACAACACTTGTGGACACTTAGAAACAACAATGCCCACCTCAGCATCCGTCCACGTGAATGTTTTCTTCAAGAGCTCCACTTTGGCAGTGATTTTGTCTTCGCTGAGGAATGCAACAGCTTGTAATGCATGTCTGAACATCGGAGATCCTCGGGGCACACCAAGAAGACCTTTGATACACGCCACTGCTGTCTGGATGCGTTCGGTGCTGATGCTGAGCAGCAATGGCATACGTATGTAGAGCCTGGTAATATCACAAGCAGCTAGCCCGCACTCGTGCAGGAAGGTGACATTGGGCTTGACCACCCGGTCGAGGTCAGACCCGAGAATGGAGCCACCCGCTCGAGGTAGGGCTCGAAGGAGGTTCTTCGAGGACCCAAAGAGGGGCAAGCAGTACTGCATCCCGGCGATGATGGATTTTTTGTAGAATTTGTCGAGCGCGAGCAAGGCGAGGCGCGCTATTTTAGAACGCGACAAGCCGAGGCCCGAGAGCCTGACGACGACGGGCGTCAGTGTTCTCTCCACGCTGGCACAGAGGAACTTTGGGTTCTTGGCGACAAGGGCGGTGACATCGGTGTTAGCAGCTAGCTAGTCTGTCTCTCACCTCTCTCCCCCCATGCGCACGTACCGCATGCGATCACCCACGATCCATGCACGTAGCCACGACCTGGCGCTCCACGCCCCTGTTGTAACCTGAGCTATATATAGGAGTGTATAGATCGGAGAGCACCCAAGGTGCAATCTCCTTTTCCCATAGCATTCTACATGGTATTAGACGCAGGGCTCATTCCTCGTCTCTGAAACCGCTTCCGCTCCCCTCTGCACCTCGTGGCCATGGCCGCTCCTCCCCCTCCCCCTCCACCCCCACCACCGCGGCCCAACCATGCCATCGGTGGCGGTTTGCTCGCCACGCCGCCCTCCTCCCAGAGCCATACCCAGACCCTCCTCACCCCCTCTGCCATCACGCGCGGGGCGCTCTTCATGCCGGATCCGACGGCCTCCTCCTCCGCGCACAACCAGCAGCCCGTCTCTCCTCTCGCCGGAGTTTACATCAACTAGCACATTCCCATCGTGCTCATGCTCAACCCGCCCAACTTCTCCCATTGGTGCACTCTTTTCGAGGTCACGTTCGCCAAGCACGCCGTCACTGACCACATCGCTGGCCCGGCGCGGCCCCATGACCCAGCCTGGGCGCAGGACGACGCCCACGTCCTCACCTGGCTGTACAACTGCGTCAGCACGGAGGTCTTCGGGCTCATTCACCAGCGCGGCGCCACTGCCGCTGCCGTCTGGGAGTCCATCTTCACTCTCTTCCTCGAGAACGCGGAGCATCAGGTGGTGTTTCTCTCCACCGAATTTTGCTGCATCGAGCAAGGTTCCTCGTCCATCCTCTCCTTCTTCGCACGGCTCAAGGACTGCGCCGACCGCCTCGCCGAGCTCGGCGCGCCCATCATCGACCGCGATCAGGTGCTCAACATGTTCCGTGGACTTCACCCACGTTTTCGCTATGCGGTGCCCATCCTGACGATGCAGACACCGTTCCCGACCCTGCTGCACTGCCGTGCCTTCCTGCTGAGGAGAGCGGTCTCTCTGCCAACGGCAACACTGAGACCGCGCTGCACGCTGCACGCGTCCCGGCCAACAACAACAATCCGGGTGGCGGCGGCGGTGGCGGCGGCCCTGGGAACGGCCCTCCACGTGGCGGAGGTGGGCGCTACAAGGGAAAGGGGAAGGGCAACAACTCCGGCGGGGTTCAGTCGTCCCACTCCGGCGAGGGTGGGCACGCTCAACACCCTCCCGCTCCTGCAGCTGCGCCGTGGACAGGCATGGTTCACGGCTGGCCGATGCCATGGCGCCCACACGCCCCAGGAGCGGGCATCATCAGCCCTCGTCCTGGCGGGAGTATGCCGTTCGCGGGCACTGCCTCGCACCACGCTGCCGGTCCGAGCGCTACGGGCGCTCCGGGCATCCCTGCGACTGCGCCTCCCGTGGTATGGCAGCACAGTGATGTGCCTGCCCATGTTGGGGAACGTAGCAGAAATTCAAATTTTTCTACGCATCACCAAGATCAATCTATGGAGATTCTAGCAACAAGAGAGAGAGGAGTGTATCTTCATACCCTTGAAGATCGTGATGCGGAAGCATTACAAGAACATGGATGATGGAGTCGTACTCGCGGCGATTCAAATCGTGGAACATCCGATCTAGCGCCGAACGGACAGCGCCTCCGCGTTCAACACACGTACTGCCCGGGGACGTCTCCTCCTTCTTGATCCAGCAAGGAGAGAGGAGAAGTTGAGGGAGAACTCCGGTAGCACGACGGCGTGGTGGTGGTGGAGCTCGTGGTTCTCGGCAGAGCTTCGCCTAAGCACTTCGGAGGAGGAGGAAGTATTGGAGGAGGGAGGGCTGTGCCAGGGGAAGGGTGTGGCTGCCCTCCCACTCCCTCACTATATATAGGGGGAAGGGGAGAGAGGGGGCCGGCCCCTCTAGATGGATCTAGAGGAGGGGGCGGCGGCCAAGGGAAACCCTAGATGGGATTGGGCGCCCCCACCCCCTAGGAAACTTGCCCCGCAAGCCGGGAGGGGTGGCTGGCCTAGGGGAGGCGCCCCAACCTCTCTAGGTTACGTGAGATGGGGTGGGAGGGGCGCTCAGCCCCTTAGTGGGCTGATGTTCCCCCTCCCCTTGGCCCATAAGGCCCCCAACGCTTGCCGGGGCCTCCGAAACCCCTTTCGGACACGCTGGTCATCACCTGGTACCCCCGGAGCAATTCTGGACTCCAATACCCTTCGTCCAATATACCGACCTTCACCTCCAGACCATTCTGAAGCTCCTCGTCATGTCCAGGATCTCATCCGGGACTCCGAACAACCTTCGGTAACCACATACTATTTCCCATAACAACTCTAGCGTCACCGAACCTTAAGATGTAGACCCTACGGGTTCGGGAACCATGCAGACATGACCGAGACATTCTCCAGCCAATAACCAACAGTGGGATCTGGATACCCATGTTGACTCCCACATGTTCCATGATGATCTCATCGGATGAACCACGATGTCGGGGATTCAATCAATCCTGTATACAATTCCGTTTGTCAATCGGTATGTTACTTGCCCGAGATTCGATGGTCGGTATCCCAATACCTCGTTCAATCTCGTTCCCGGCAAGTCACTTTACTCGTTTTGTAATGCATGATCCCGTGACTAACTACTTAGTCACAATGAGCTCATTATGATGATGCATTACCGAGTGGGCCCATCGATACCTCTCCATCATACGGAGTGACAAATCCCAGTCTCGATTCGTGCCAACCCAACAGACACTTTCGGAGATACCTGTAGTTCACCTTTAATTTATAGCCACCAAATTACGTTGTGATGTTTGATACACCCAAAGCATTCCTATAGTATCCGGGAGTTGCACAATCTCATGGTCTAAGGAAATTATACTTGACATTAGAAAAGCTTTTAGCAAACGAACTACACGATCTTGTGCTATGCTTAGGATTGGGTCTTGTCCATCACATCATTCTCCTAATGATGTGATCCCGTTATCAATGACATCTAATGTCCATGGTCAGGAAACCATAACCATCTATTGATCAACGAGCTAGTCAACTAGAGGCTCACTAGGTACATGTTGTGGCCTATGTATTCACACATGTATTACGGTTTCCAGTTAATACAATTACAACATGAACAATAGACAATTATCATGAACAAGGAAATATAATAATAACCATTTTATTATTGCCTCTAGGGCATATTTCCAACAGTCTCCCACTTGCACTAGAGTCGACAATCTAGTTCACATCACTATGTGATTGTAATGAATCCAACGCCCATGGTGTTTGATCATCTCTTGCTTGTGAGAGAAGTTATTAGTCAACGGGTCTGAACCTTTCAGATCTGTGTGTGCTTTACAAATCTCTATGTCATCTTGTAAATGCAGCTTCCATGCGCTACTTGCAGCTATTCCAAACAACTGCTCTACTATACGAATCCGGTTTACTACTCAGAGTCATCCGGATTAGTGTCAAAGTTTGCATCGACATAACCCTTTACAACGAACTCTTTTACCACCTCCATAATCGAGAAAATTCCTTAGTCAACTAGTTACTAAGGATAAGTTTGACCTCTGTCATGCGATCCTATTCCTGGATCACTCTTGTACCTCTTGATTGACTCATGGCAAGGCACACTTCAGGTGCGGTACACAGCAAAGCATACTGTAGAGCCTACGTCTAAAGCATAGGGGACGACCTTCATCCTTTCTCTCTCTTCTGTCGTGGTCAGGTCTTGAGTCTTACTCAATACTCACACCTCATAACACAGCCAAGAACTCCTTCTTTGCCGATCTATTTTGAACTCCTTCAAAATCTTGTCACGGTGTGTATTCGTTTGAAAGTACTATTAAGCGTTTTTGATCTATCCTTATAGATCTTGATGCTCAATGTTCAACTAGCTTATTGCAGGTTTTCCATTGAAAAACACTTTTCAAATAACCCTATATGCTTTCCAGAAATTCTACATCATTTCCGATCAACAATATGTCAACAACATATACTCATCAGAAATTCTATAGTGCTCCCACTCACTTCTTTGGAAATACAAGTTTCTCATAAACTTTGTATAAACCCAAAATCTTTGATCATCTCATCAAAGCATATATTCCAACTCCGAGATGCTTACTCCTGTCCTTAGAAGGATTGATGGAGCTTTGCATACTTGTTAGCATCTCATAGGATTGACAAAACCTTCTGGTTGTATCATATACAACCTTTCCTCAAGAAAATTGTCGAGGAAACAATGTTTTGACACCCTATCTGCATGATTTCATAAATAATGCAGTAACTGCTAATATAATTCCAACCGACTCTTAGCACCGCTACGAGTGAGAAAGTCTCATTGCAGTCAACTCCTTGAACTTGTCGGAAAACATCTTAGCGACAAGTCGAGCTTTCTTAATGGTGACACTTACCATCATTGTCCGTCTTCCTTTTTAAAATCCATCTGTAACCAACAGCCTTACGACCATCAAGTAGTTCTTCCAAAGTCTATAATTTGTTTTCATACATGGATCCTTTCTCGGATTTTATGGCCTCGAGCCAGTCGTCGAAATCCGGGCCCACCATCGCTTC